CCCCAAACCCCAAAACCCCAAAACCCCAAAACCCCTAAAACTAGTGGCCAAATTGAAAAATTATTCCACATAAAAGCCAAACTATTTCAAAAATTAAAAATGGGTAAGCGAGGAAGAAAGATCAGAAGAACCAGGAAATACAGGATCAAAGAAAGTGAAGAGCAGAAAAGAGTTCTTACTGAACAAGAAATTGAGAGAAAGAAGGAGCTCAAGAAGGAGTTGAGGAGGAAAATCAGAGAGAAAAAGAACAACCATACTAAGTAAGACTTCAGGGAACTAACTCTAGGTGGCTGATAGAAACAACTACTGAAGAAATGCTACAGAGTGATAGTTTCGAAAATTCTAAGGTTCGGGAGAAGCAACTTGATGCAAAATTGAAGCAGCTTAGTGAGGAATTAGAGCAAACTCAGCAACAAATTCTTTTGAATGAAGATAAGCGGTAAGAGTTTTGTCAGAAAGTTATCATTGCTTTGGTACAGATTAAGAAAATTCAATTTCTCAAATGGCTGATTATTTATTTAGAAATTTACTTGAAAAGGTTGATCCAGAGGCTCTTGAAAAGGTTATAGAAGACCTCAAAGAAGAAGAGTCTTATTTTGATGAAGAAATCAAAAGCTTCAAGTTAAAGATGAGGAACGTCATCATCGAAATTAACCAAATCATTAAAAAAGAAGAGGAAGAAAATAAATTTTTATATGTTACAGATTACGATGAATTTAAGGTGCTTTTAGATGAGATCGTGACTTCTATCGACTGTCCTCTCCTCTGTTCTAGATTCCAGGATCCTCAAATAGCTCCGTCTGGAATGGTCTATGATAAAGCAGCTATCGACCAACTTATCTCTCGATATGACAAGGATCCATTTACAAGGGTAAAATTCCAAGAGAATTCCAGAAGAAAGCATTACTTCTTCAAAGAGATCTTCGGTATTATCAAGACGCATGCTGAAGTTAAGAACATTGACATCTACTCAATGAAAATTTCTAAATTATAATAGATTCTCTTCTCCAATTATGATATCTTAACTAGGGGTTTTGGGGTTTTGGGGTTTTGGGGTTTTGGGGTTTTGGGG